GAAGTGAACAAGTCCTGGATGGAACGTACAATCTCATCAGCATCCTGCAAAGAAAAATGCCAACATTGAAGGTTTTCACTACAATAAACAAAGTGAAAATAAAAGTGAAGCAAAATGTTACCTCATCAGCAATCTTGGGGGGTGACAAATCACCAGTTGGCTCCACCACCTGTGGCCCCACCACCAGGGGAGACTTCCCCTTGTCTGGACGAGAAGACTCTACCACAATGGGCAGACCCATGGGAGCCTCTGCATGATTAAAGAAGCAACAAATCAGAAACCAATAGCACAAGCAAAGGTAAAACATCAAAAATGTATTACCTTCTGGTTTGACGTTTGGGGGTCGGCGCCCTGGGAAGAAGGTGGGTTGTCCATTGATTGTGATGAATGTTCCGGGACTGAAGGTTTCTCTTTAAGCGTAGTCCTTTCATCAGCTAGTTTGGACGAAGCAGCTCCAGCAGAGGATGATGGAGCAGGAGCTGCCAACACCTAAACCTTCAAAGGAGAGGCTGAACTTTTCTGAGAAATCCAAGAAAACATTAGCACATAGAAAGGTATGCTTGTGAGTAAACAAAATTCAATTCGATTACCTTTCTCCTAACGATGAGAGGAGTATTATCATCATCATCATCCTTCTAAATGGGAGATGCTGAAGCTGGCCGTTTGCTGCTTGGGGCGCTCTTAGCTGCAGTAGGTTTGGCAGGTACAGAAGTAGAGGGACGAATAGATTGTTTAGCATGAGCGGAGGAGGAAAGATTCCTAATGGACACAGGGGTGACCAAAATAGGAGAAGTGGAAGGAATGTTCGACTGATTCAGTGAATGGAAAACACGATTAGCATCAATTACAAATAATCTGCACTTTACTGATGGCCAGAGTTGTTCAAAAAGGGGGTAAACGGCACGACTAAGATTGAAGGGGGCTAATGAAAAGTTACTCGTCAAAAGAATACTGCGAGCATCTATAGCTTGTGCCTCTACCTTATTAATGGTGTGAAAGCGGTCTATCAAATTTTTTGAATAACAAGGGGGAACAGGCTAAGTTTGGCCAAAACGAAGTTAGCGAACAAAAAATTGGGAAGCATATATTTCAACCCCAGCTTTGGCATTGGTTTCGGTTAAAATATCATGGAACAACTCCCTCCCACTCAAAAACTGAACCCAAACGAGCAGAAAGGCGCTCGCACTGTCCAGGGTGGATGGAGGTTGCACATAATCTGGAGTTAAATGAGCAAGAAATGGAAAGAAAGAAGGAATTGAATTTAAAGTATAAAATAATGAAAAAATATCCCTTCTGAACATATTTACAGGGCTCAATGGCTAGCCCATAGCAGCTAGCAGAACGAAGGGACATAGATAGAGCACCAAGTGATGGAAAATAGGCTCTCAACCACAGTTGAGCGAACCAAAGAGGCCCACTGTCAGTGGGAGATGCACCATTCTTCAATTGAAATTAAAAAGAACTCATGTCTCTATAGAGGGCAGCCAAAAAGAAGGAACACAAATTCAAAGACCTACCACGCATCAATTCGTGCGCTATGGGTAAATAGCTCATAGAAGGCTTCAAACTGGGTACACACAGGATATATTTACAAAGCCATATCTGAAGAAAGGCCACACACTCAGCGTGGCAAGGTTCAGCGCTTGAGTGATTATGACAACTTTGCAAACTTGAATAGGACTCGAAAAGTTTTTTGTTAAATTTTGGGGCAACACCAAAAATCAAAATACCAGGGAAAATGGTGTCGCCTAAAGGTGGAAGATTTATTAGGACCCCAACATCCCTTAAAGTGATTGACAAGGGACCAAGAGGGAAAATAAAAGTATTATATTCAAAAGACCAAAAACTTAAAGTAATAGGAAAAAGTGCTGGGTCAAAAATTGGGGGTTGAAGAGAGATTTCTAATAAATCAAAAATCCTAGCACGATCAAAAATCGCCTTAGTAGGACCATGGCCCACAAGGCGAGCATGCCATCTACGGAAAATAACATCAAATTTAGGCCAAGTGCTAATACCTTTTTCGCGAATAGGCCTCAGCGGCAAAGAGTTCAAGAATGGAAGGCCTTGAGTACAAGGAAACAGCTGACCCACCGCCACTTGTTCGACGATTTCGGCGTTGGTGAATGAAGGACCCAGATAGAACTCATCAAGTCATTGGTTGGTGCAAGAAAGTTCGGATTTACATATAACTGAGTGAGGATTTTCTAGAAATCATCGAAGCTAAAAGAGTCGTCAGATTGGGTTTGTGGAGCAGTCATTGAGAACGAAATATAGTTTTGTTAAGGTTTGCTCGAAAAATGTAGCAGAGAAGCAAGAAGATGAACAGTGGTATGGCGAGAAAGAAGCTCGAAATAATGATACGTGAATTAGTGGTACAACAAAATGACGTGTCTTTGGGGTTTATAAGGGTTTGTAGCGTCGCATTTTTTCAGGCTATGAAAGGAAATAATGATTGAAATTCTTGGGAATTTCAAATGTTGTTGGGAAACACAAAGTAAATATGGCAAAGATTAATAATTTGTATTAATTCTGCCATATTGGGGGTAATTGTTGACACACTAAAAGTGCAACCCAAATCGAATAGCCCGGGGAATGAAGTCCAATTAGGGAATCCCCAAATCAAATAGCCCAAAGAATGAAGCTCAATTGGGAAATTCAGGATAAAGGCCCAAATAGGGTTACGAATGAATGCAGTGGAAGCCCACGAACACGGTAAAATCATCGCCCAAGCTTGCAAGACCCCTAAGATCTGAGCGAATGAATTTTCTTACAGTCGCCCATAGTTATGACCCTATTCTCGTCCAAACCTTCGAATCGCCCAGGATCTTAGCAAACATAAGATGTTATGGTTATCTAGAAGTGCAGTTATTGAAACAGTTATCGAGTAACCTTATCACGATCCACGATTCAAGGAGTTTAGATGAAGACGGTTGAACGACAAAGAGTAGTGACAGCAGTTAGAGACGACAGTTCCATGACACGTTAGTCACCATTAAGAAAGTGGGTAGTTATAAAGTAATCAAGCAGTTTCTAAGCGGTTGATCACGAAGAAATCATCAAGGGAATATAAAAGGAAGAAAAGACATAGAGCGAAGAACCCGAATCAAACACTCTCAAAGAGAGAATATGTAATTTCAATTTCTTAGTTTAGATTTAAACATTTTTTTTCAGTACTCGTGTGTTTGCGCTCCTTGGAGGTATTCTGTTTAGTTCCAATTGTAAAGTCATCGCCAATAAAACACCCCTTTTGGGACTTTGTCTCAAAAGGTTTGTTCCTTACACAATCGGTTAATCCCTTTTTAATTGTTAGCGACTACCCGCGTGAAACAGGAACCATTTTAAATTTGGCTAGACATGCCATTCTCCAAGAATACAACACTAAACGACAACTTTATCCATTTTTTCCCTTAAATTATTATTGAATTTGATGTTTGATTGCGTAAATTTTTTGTGACAAAAATATTATTATAGGTTAATTTAAATTGTTATCTAATATTTATGTATCAAAATCACCAAGTCCTAGACCAATATGGAAAAAGAAAAAATATCGGTATGTATAGCTAATCTATATTAGTTGAATTATGAATAATACTTCAATAGCGAGTAAATTTGATAATATAAAAAATTATAATATTAAAAAAAAAAAAAGAAAAACCTTTCAAAACATTACTTAACAATAAAGTTAAATCAATAAAGATTAAAGAATCGTCGGCTTAATTTGATAATACGAGAAATTGCTCGTAAGTACATTACTTAACAACAAAGTAAGTTGAATTGGTCAGATTCACTTAAAATACAAGTTTTCTTTAAATGATTTTAGTTGATCATATGTTTAGTCATAATTATACGATACTGTTTTAGAAAAGTAATTTAAAACGTACATGTTTGAATAATAAAATCATATCTAAAATTACGTAAAATCGTGCTACGCAGTCTTTTTCGTAGAGTAAAAAGACGTTTTTAAAAGTGTGAATGTTGTGAAATATATACTCACATGCATCATAACTTATCCAAATAAGGTACTTTTGCATGAAATTAACTTTAAGTGAGCAATTTACAAGATCAAAAGTTTATTTTTCGGTTTATTGCTTGAAGTTGGGAAAAAAAATATATTGGGGAGTGTTTAGTTGCGAACATGTACTTCACATGGGGAAAAAAAAAAGGTAATTGAATTGCCTAAAAATTATTTATATAGAAATTATCAATTAAATATGTTTGATTGATTTTATTTTCAAAAAATATTATACTTGTCACTTGTTATTGGTAGGCAGACGTGAGAGGGGGTAAATGAAAGAGAAAATAGAATGAATTATTTAAAAAAAAAGAAAAAAACTCACTCTTCATAAAGAAAATATTTTCCTTATTTTCACAAATATATGATCACGTCATCAAAAGTGATAAAAAAATTAATTAAAAAAAATATAAAATAGCACAAATTTAAAAACTTGAATGAAAGTACACTGTGTTTTAAAATTACTTATAGAATAAGTAAAAAATACTTCTTATTATACCCTTGTTTGAACTACATTTTTTCAAGAATATATTTTTTTAAATCTTATTTTCAACCACACATTTTTCTATAAAATAATTATACATATATTTCAAAAAATCTTCCTCACTTTTAAACACGCATTTTTCAAAAAAATTATTATTTCATAATACATTTTACCCGAAATATAGGGATCAAACAAGGGTTATAACCTAATTCCCGTACAAGTGGCAAGGCATTTGCCAACCAACCTAGTCGAATGACTTGGCAGCATTTTTTTATATTTTTCTTATGTATTATGCTATTTATACGAAGTGTGTTTATAAATCTGGATGACAAATGAATGTCGACAAAATTCAAGTTATTAATTTTCAATGATTTAAAAATTTGTTTTCGAAATGATTGATTTAAATATTATTTTGTCAATTAATTTTGTACACGGAGTCTTAACTCTTTTTTTTCTTTTTTTATTCATGGTATGCCTGTTCTGGAATCTTCTAGTTTCAAGTACAGTAGTATTCTTCTTCACTATTTTAAAGCTCAGTATTTTCAATCTGGGAGGAAAAATGATCCAAAGGCACGGAGGCTTAGATTGGGTTCAAAGGGTCAGTGATTTTTCCCATTATTCGTTTGAAACACATATTCTTCATTGGATTGAAGACATAATTTAAGGTATTTAATTTGTTCTTCTGATTTTTGAACCAAAAATGGCTGTGCTTTTTGTTGACCTAGGTGGGAAGTTTATTGCAAGTATCTGTGTTAACTGCTCAAGTATTCATCATTGTATGATTTGCATTTCCGAATTTTTAAAATTGTTACCGATTTACGTGTGGTCGATTGGATCAATATCAAGATTTCGTGTTCAATTCATTTCTCCAACATGTTTCTTGTTGATTGTCTCCAAGTTATTGCGTTCTATTCATTTCTCCAACCTGGGTTAATTGTTGACTTATTGCAAGATTTTGTATGATTTGCGTTTCTTGAATTTCTTGCTGATGTTGAGTTGACCAGTTCTGCTCTTCAATTTATATGTTGTATTAATTATTTCCTGGGCAACTTTTGCCATCATCCTCTGGAAGTTCTCAGCATTTTTCCCCCTAAGCAGTTTAATTATTTCAACTACTCAAAGATCACTTACATCCATACGGTGTCGTTCTATTCATTTCTCCAACCTGGATTAATCATTAATTTGTTCACTTATTGCGAGTTTTTGTATGATTTGCATTTCCTGAATTTCTTGCTGATGTTGAGTTGGCCAATTCTGTTCTTCAATTTTTATGTTGTATTAATTATTCTCTGGGAAACTATAGGCCATCCTTCTCTGGAAGTTCTCAGCATGTTCTTTTTCCCCCCTAAGGAGTTTATTATTTCAGCTACTCAAAGATCACTTACATCTATACGGTGTGTAAAGAAACATATCTGACTTGATGAGAAAAACCCAGATTTTTCTATTTTCTTAATTCTAGATTTTTCCATAGTAACCGACTTGTGGAGAAGGTTCTAAAATGCTTACATATTTCCAACGCCATTTGTGGAGTTATCTAGAATTGGAGAGATAAGCTACTCCACGACTTATAAACCTATAAATATAGGATTGCTGCATGTAATATTCGTATAAGAATGAGTGATGTGTGAGAATTGAGTGAAAGTCTTGCCAAGGTGCTGTGTGAGTAGAAGAGTTCTATAATGTGATAGGCCCATGTGCTTGCTCGAGTGGGTGAAAATAATTATTGAGTTGGTGTGTATGTGCCATTCAAATAAATTTGTATTGGTGGTTGCTATTATGATAAAATATATTTTCTTTGGTGTTATATTCTAGTGTACAGCCATGTAAGCTAAATAGTAATTTGTTATCACTTATTCTTGTTGTTTTCCTTGTTATTTTCTGTGTTCCATTACCAGAGAAATGACGAACTGTAGGAGTAAATGTATGATGGCGAGTGAAGGCTTGGAAGATAGAATAAGCAACCTGCCAAGTGGGATTATAGATCGTATATTAGAATACATGTCTGTTCGAGATGCTGCGAGGACGAGTATCTTGTCAAGAAAATGGAGGGATTTTTGGCCTATGCATTCAAAACTAATCTTTGATGAGCACACTTTTAGAGTCATTAGGCATGGCGTATTACTAAAGCCCGATAACCAGATCGATAAGATAATCAATAAAATTCTGTTACAACACATGGGACCCATAGTAAAATTTCTCTTGGATCTTTCATATATAAATTCGGCACGATATTCAGATGTGGATCAATGGATGTTTTTTCTATCAAGAAATGGTGTACAAGAACTTTCCCTCCTGTATTCGAAGCTGACAGGAAAATACTACAGACTGCCGTCCTATGTATTCTCTTCTTCATCATTAGAACACTTGGCACTTCATAAAGTTATAATCAAACCCCTTGCTTGTATATTTATGGGCAACCTCACTTCTCTTTCTTTTAAAAATGTCAAGTTTGAGTCAAGTTCATCTGAAGGTTATTCTTCCTGTCTTAGGACCCCACAACTCAAGAGATTGTCCATTGAAATTTGTAATGGTATTCACCATTTAGAAATTGTTGCTCGTTCACTCGAAGTCTTAACAATCTATTCGAGTGCTGCTAGATGCATCGGCTTTCTTAACCCAAACATAAAGGAGTTCAATTTTGCATGGCGCCGAGAGGTGCCAACAAAACATGGTTTCCACTTATTATCACGGCTTCTTGCAAAATTGCCAAAAATTCAGATTCTTCACTTTGACGGCTTCTTCCTCAAGGTGAGATAAATTAATCTATAACGAGTTGTCCTAAATTTCTTCAATCGTTCGGATATATATCCTAAAAATTCTGGTTTGATTTTGGTAGTATTTGGCTGGAGGTCATACACCATCTGAGCTTCCAAGAACAGCAGAGGGCCTTGAATATCTCAAACTAGATGACTTGAATTTCAAAGATTTGGATCAGATTGCTACTGTTATTTCCTTGCTTCAAAGTTGCCCCAATTTGTGCATTCTTGATCTCAAGGTGAGATGGTAAATACTGGCTCTGCATCTGAGAACTATGATTTTGGTTCTGTTTATGTTGTCAAATGATTCAAATCAATATATTCTATAAGAGACGGATTAGTCTTATCAATCTCGTACCAAATGTGTAGATATTCTTTGCATTTTGGTTCATAATTGGGATTTTCATTTCTGAGATGATTCTTTTTCAGGTTTCATCAAGAATTATAACTTATGGAGATGCGGTTCTGAATTATTTGAACACCCCAAATTGCATGAAACACAACCTCATCAAGCGTAAGACTCTGAGGTTATACTTGTACCAGAATCCTGTTGAGGAACTGATATTGCTGAAGCTTCTACTTGCTCGTTCTCCATCCCTTGTTAAGATTATAATCGAAGAGACACGTCACATGGATTCAGTCGAGGGCTTCAGAATTGCCAGAGAATTGTTAGGGTTCTCTCGAGCATCACCAAATGCCAACATAATATGGAACCGGTGTAAAACTAGCTAGACATGTCTTTTGCTGTAAACATATTACTCAAAAACTCGTAAAACTAGTACAAATATGTGGCCACTGCAACTTTATCCTTTTTCTACTTAAAAAAAAAGTTGAACCCCAACCTTAAGGGCCCCCATCGATCCTGCTCTGAGCCATCGTGGAGGAGGTAAATCGCAGGATGTGCCTCCCAGGAGTCAGGGTGGAGAGCACATGGATAGGCCAAGGCTGTTAATCCATATGGTATCCCCCCCCCCCAAATTTGTTTCCATTTTTGTGCAATAGAAAGTTATTACACCAATTTTTGACTAAGATTGCATTTTAGAAGAGTGGATTAATAGAGAATATGTGGTTAAAAAATAAGGAAAAATTTTGTGTTTGTTTGTAATATTATTTTGTTGAAAAATGTGATTGGAAAAAAGAGAGAAAAATGTATTTTAAAAATAATGAGGGCTAAACTATATGAGATTGTGATCTTATATTTGTTAAGTGGTAAATTTTACTTTGATTAATTATTGAAATTTAGACCAATATATTAGAATTTATGTTACTCTTCTTAATAAGAATATTTTTAAAAGACTCTTTAAATATGATATGTTATTCACTTTAAAGAGTCAACTCTTAAAATAATGCATCAAGAGACTCTTTAAATTAATATTTTATTTTTCTATAATTGAATGTATTTAGAGTATTTCAATTTTCAATGTAGGAAAATAATATTATAATTTAGAGAAAAGTAAGTTAAAATAAAAGATAGAGAAAATAATAAATATTTTTTTGGGAGTAGTGAAATTAAGTATTAAATATAAAGAGCATGTTGAAATGTTTCAAAATTTTTACTCTCTATGTTTATAATGCTTTTTAAATTATAGAATATACTATTTAAAAATAAATAGTCTCTTGAAGATATTCCAAAATTGACATTTTAATATGAAATTCAAGTCTTAACATGATATCTGATACAATTAAACTCAAATGGACAATTTGAGTTGCTTAGCACATGAATTTCAAGTTTGAGCTATTCTAACTAAACGAGTCATTATCTTGTGAGAGAATGTTAATGCAATATATCACATATCGATTAATTATCGAAATATAGATCGGCATATAACGATTTGGATTACTCCTCTTAATAATGTTGACCTTTTAAAATGGAATTCAAGTCTTAACTTGGTATCAGAACCTATTAAGTTCAAACGAGCAATTTGATCCGATTATGATTCAAACGAGTGCACGAATTTCAAGTTTTAATTGCTCAAAAGAACAATTATCTTGTGGGTACACGTTAAAGGATAAATCTCACATCAATTAATAATCAACATACAAGGATTTAAACTACTTCTTTTAGCTCCCGTTTGACCTCTATTCTTTCCAAATTTTAATGGTTGGAATAGTGTTTTTTTTTTAAATGTGTCGTTGAAAATGAATGAAAAGTTTTTGATTTTTGTGTAATATTATTTATAAAATATTGTGTGGTTCAAAATGAGAGGGAAAAAAAGAATGAGAAATAGAATGAGGGCCAAACGGGGGCTTAATAAGATTAATCTTTAAAAAAGAACAGTTTAAATTACCATAATTTTGAGAACAAGATAAAAATGTGAAATGTTATATAATATTCGATTGGTTTCAATTTCTTTAGGGAAAAATATATAACTACCAACATTTAAATATATACATTCCAACTTGACAAACTAGTAAAATTCTTTCAAAAATTAGGTGGTATTAATTAATTATGATCATAAATCAAATATTTTTATTGGTCATAACTTATTTTTTAATTATAAATTATCAAATTAATTGTCATAACCTATTTATCGATCACAAATTATCAAATTAATTAGCCACAACTTATTTATTGGTCATAAATTATGAAATTAGTTGGTTACTATTACTAATTAATTGATCACAAATTACCCTTCATCCCCGTACCCCATCCCATCCCCATTCCACCATCGCAACACCAACCAAAACATCATCGTCGTCGCCTCAAATCCATAGCCCATCACCACCTACATCACAACCCACCACCTCTTCCTCTAATCCACCAACTCCACGATTATCAACACCGCTTATAGCACCATCGTCACCAAAACCACCACCATAAGCCCACGACAAAATTGCCAACTGTAACATTGGACCACCATCTTCCCTATATTCGTTGGTCGATTTCTTCACGTCGATGTCTCCTATAAAATTATTTAATCGACTTAACTATCCCACCCCATCCACCCACCCACCAAATTTCATTCACAAACCTTAATAATTTTTTCCTTCTCTCTCTTTCTCTCTCGCACATCTTCCGTCGAAGATATCGTCGGTGCCACGATGCTCACGATGTTGGCACATGCAGCAGCGCTCAAGACGCCACCACCTTAACAGCATCTCTCTAAAGTAGCCAACACTATTGTGAAGTTGCTAGGTCCTGTCACTTCTAAACAACCAACGTCGTTCACGACATCACTGCGTAGCGTGGCGATGTCGCCCTCCGCCATTCCCGACCTTCTTACTATTGGGAAAATTATCGCCACCAGGGTTGGAGAAGAAACGACATAGAAGTGATATCAAGAAGATGAAATAAATGTGAAGAACAAATCGAATATGAAAGGCTCAAACACGACATTATATCGTTGTCTTCAAACGATATTTGCCCCCTCTCGGTAACGATTTGGTGCTTAAAGGGTCTTGCGGCAAACGGTTTGTAAGATTAATCAAGCCTCATAGAGAATCAAACACTTAAGCACATGTGTTTTTCTCCAAAACTTCAAGAACACAATGAGGAAAAAAATGAGAGAATCAAACACTTAAGCACATGTTTTTTCTCCAAAACTTCAAGAATACATGGAGAAAAAAATGAATATCGAAGAAGAAAGAATTTAACTTTCTTATTGAATGAAAAATGTTTTATCATATATTTGTAATATATATTCGACACAATGTATTGATCCCTCCATCACCTATTTATAGATTTGAATCAATACTCCACAAATAGGTGCCAAATTATGATGAAGAGTTGCAAGAAACCCTTCAAAAGCCGCCAAAAACTAACTGAAAAATGGCCTCCAACGGTCACTTTAAATGTACCATGCGACCGCATGGTTTAACACTATGCGGTCGCATGGTATATTTGTGACCGAGCCTTTTACGCTCGATCACATGGCCAAATACACCATGCGGTCACATGGTTAAACATGCAGACGCCATTTCAGTTTTATGTTCCAATTTTGTTCCTTCCATTCCACACACGTGTTTATTGGTTTTTGAACAAAATATTTTCAACAATCCCTACTTGTTCAAATTTCAATAAACTCTCATATTCAAAGTATCAATACTCATGCATAAGGATTATATATCTTTCGATTTGAATCTAACCATAGTTTAATTCAAACAAAGTAAAGTCAGAATCAAAGGTAGTGTGAAGCTTTAAACCAATTGTTCCATGTGTCAATACCGGTAAGAATACACACACGGGTTTTATGTGTTCTCAAGTTTCTCAATCTCGCTTAGCACTCAAATGGCCTTGTGCTTATCATTTTCAACAAACTTTTAAGAGAGAAACTCCAACTCTCTATTGAGGCGGCACCACCTCGAAGTTCGTCCAGATGAAGTTCTTTCAGTACCTTTGTTACTTTTAGATGTACTTGTGTTTTAGCACTGAGCTTCATTAAGAGCTTAAAGCTCAACCCTCATTTTAGTAACAACCAATATTATTTTAATTAGGATAGGATTTTCGCGGATTTATATAATGCTGCAACCATCTACATATCCAATGACTTGTTAGTACCCTTTGAAGTCGTGGATTACCTTTTGAGTAATGACAGGTAGGGTTACCGTCATTGGTGGACCTTTATATTTTAGGAATTTCAACCCCATCCTACTTGAAGTAGATGTCACTAAAATTTATTTAGTGGTCTTGTTAAAGGATCCGCTAATATTTTCTTCGAAAATTATTCCATCTTTGATAATTTCCTTGTGACGTCACCCCTAAAACTTATATGTCACTTCTCATTTCATGTGACTTAGTATTTTTATCAAACATAGCTAGCCAATGATTCATTTGATAGATACAAATTGTCATCGTCAAGAAATCTTTTATGAAGCCACATGCTTCTTACTCGCTTTATTTAAAGCTTTATAGATTTTCAAAACACCGTTGGATGATTTCCATTGATTCATTACACTAGTCAATCACTTCTATTTGTAGATTTTCGTACTTGGGTATTCACATATCATCATTGAATCATTACAATGATCTTCAATGAATATTTTTTGAATATTCTATTGGTTTTGCAAGCGCCACAATTGGCCTTTACCCATTTAATCCACCTTAGACTTAGTGTGTTTCATCCTTACAAAGTCTTCTCTACCTTTCTTCATCATAGATGTATTTCTATGATTAAAATGTTTAGGGAATTTTAACTTTTATGTTAAGTTACCCCCACAATTCCTTAATTAGGAATTCTTATGTAATCTTGTAATATTGCATCTTGAACTTCTTATGTAAGTTCACAAGCATTATTGATAACCTCCATATTTAGGGTTATATTCGAACTTAGAGTTCATTAATGTGTTAACCCCCACATTTGGGATTATACTTGAATTTAGAGTTTATTAACTCTTTTCTAGTTCAATTTGCTTATCACTTAGATAACATCCGAATCGAGTGCTTCATGAAAGTCTAATTACTTTCAAATAGCGGTCGTCGATTTCACACAAATTATTTTTCCATTCAAATTTGTACTTCAATCACTTATAATAGTTTGATCTTCTAAATTAAATCAAGATTGTCACATAGACCATCAACGCTTTACTAAGCATGAATCAACTTAATTGATTCCATGATCGAAGCCAAATTCAACAATGAAGAAGACTAAGCATCTTGCTTTACAAGAATTGCAACTTCTCCAAGCATATACAATTTTATCACATTGTGACATTTCACATAATAATATTATTCATGTCACATAATAAGGCACATATCACCTTATTTTCCATATTAGAAAAGTTGTGTCATAATCTTACAAAATGATACACCTTTAGAATATTTCATAATATTCTTCACAATTTTATCCTTTATAAATTAATGTCATTTACAATC